GGGAACTGGGAAGGAACGCATTGTCCGCTCCCTCCACAAGCATCGACTGTGTTTTGTTCATTGGCGTCTGTGCCTTGCGACAGGTTGTCCGGGACTCCCATCTACGCGTAGGTCTTCCTCGTGTTCTCTTTCCTTCTAGTATTCTCGACAATAATGTTTGTTTTCATCTCTCAAATCTGTGCCCAGACGTCTTAAGGATAAAACAAAACTGAAATTTGAAACGAACTTAATGAACACGCTACATTAAGCAAACTAAAATGGCGCTCGCTTGGCTAAACATCTGTAACGACTGTTAGAATTCATGGGACTTTGTAGGACGTCCAAATCAGCGAGTTGCAAGGCTTGTGGCGCCAATAGATAGATGCAAGTGTCACGTGTACGTTGTCTGAAGGCAGGCCGAGTTCTGCGTGTTTCTGGGATGGTTACTGAAATCTTCAAAGTGAGTCTGGACCGGACACTCTCAAGTGAGGTCACCACCTGTTTTCATGTACACATTTTTAAAAAGGGCACACAATCAATTACTGTGAATCAAATACCGAGAAATATCACGCTCCTCGGAGGGTAAGCTTCGTACATAACCGAAATCACTGGGGACCGTCCACCAGAGGCGCCATAATTCATTCTGTGAAATTATTGGGAACAGTAAGTCCGTTTTGAATTGTCTTGCGTCTGAGCAAAATGCGCGAAAGAAGGGTTTGTGTATCCGCCACTGATGCTCTCCCTCAGTAGACGGCTTTGTTCCTTGTCATCCAATTATATAATATCCTCCGCCATCGCCTATTACTTTCAATCTGTGTTTCTAATGGGGTCCAGTGCTGGAGGAACAGTTGCTTGTCAGCATTAATAACTCTATTTGCATTTTAAACAGTTGAGTCACATCAGTGCACAGGGAGTCAGTCACCCACCCTGCTCGCCCCAACATCCAGTGGGCGGTGGGCGGTGGGCGAGTGCATTGTGCACTTTGCGTCAGCCTCTCACCGGCTCCTCATTTGTACGTCTCTCTTAAAATGAAACGCGCTAAACTTCTGATCAGCGGTCATTTGTACGGTTTCTGAGTGTGACGGTGGTGAATGACACTGTTTCAACTGTAGAAGTTATTTAGCGGCGTTGAACCTCTGTCCACCTTTACCTGTCTTCGTAAATGTTCAAAGAGGAGGACAGGCTAGCAGAGCGAAACTGAGTGCGATCCACAGTTTTCGTGGCGTACTAAATCCTTTCTGGAGGTCAGCCTTGTCAGTGTTGAATTGAAGAAACCGTTTCGGAAGTTAGATCTGCCTCCGTCTTCAGGGTCCGTGATGATGGAGTCAGGGCGTCGGATTCTTATGTATCATTGCCACGGTTGATCGTCGGAGTGCAGTGGCGTAGCTGCAGTAAAAAACACAGCTGGAAGTGTAAGGAGCGGAGTTGTAGCCGGAAAGAACGGTTTGCGCGCAAACTCTGTCATCTATAATTTCCGATACTTGAAAGAGATCTGAAATTGGGCACTTCGACGCCGGCGCTGCGTTCATAAATTCGGATTTCACTGCCTGAACCTGTTACAAATCGGTATCCGTTTTATCCAAGGCTGCAAGTCATTAAGGAATTCAGTGGAATAAATCCAGTTCGGAGTTCTTTGTGTTTTACGTCGCTCCTCGTTAGTTCGTCTGGCTTCCCCCCCAATTCATGCGTCGGGTTCCTGATCTCATGTCGTTCCTGTCCTCGCGTGCGATAATGAAATGAAAAATAGAAAGTATTTTGTGCAGCTTTGTAATTACGCTGTGAGGGGAGGCGTTGTACTTAATGGCTTCGCTGCTGATATACGCCCTGAAGAAGGAGGGGGCTGTGTGTTTGCTTACGATGGACTCGCTCTGTACTGCTAAGGGGTCACTACTTCGCTTTCAATGAATCCTCGAGTTGCAAATTCTGCAAAGTGTTCAGTGTTCGAAATTGAGTCCGCTACGTTTCGGAAGCCGGCTGTACTACATTCACATGTAAAAAAATGGTATTCTTTTGGGTCCAATTCCAGTAATTCCTTAGTGGTAGTCGAACAAGTCCTTGTTTTTACGCTTTGGAACTAAAGTATAGTCTGATGAACCGCGCTAGCAGTTGAAATGGCATATTTACGACTGAATGAAGTTCATTTCGAACGCTCATTAACTTTATTAAACCGCGAACAGATTTGAAGATGGCTGTCTTCTGCGGACATTATGCCATGTGGTGTGGTAGACGTTTACTGACGTTTCAGAGGTACTTGCTGCCTCCTTCAGTACATGTCTCAAGATGCCGGTCTCTTATATTGGTTCGTGACAAAGATAGTTACTTAAACGTGTGGTAAGGAAGGCTAGTGTTGTGTTGCCTTTCTTGTGGCCTGCAATTCCCCTAGATCGAAACAAGTCCCATTCGTAGCCGCTTAAGAGTCGTAAGACTTTCCTTCAATTAAGTGGTTGTTAGTGGGTGGGGAAATGATTAGCGCCAGAGACGTATTCGCTACGGCAGAGTAACTAAGTAACGGCTAATTGAGAGCTAGGAGAGGCGGGTGACTTGATACTTGCAAATGTCACGGAAGCCGAGCGTCGTTAAAAGTATCGAATTTCTGAACAGAAGTGCTGCACGCTGTAGCTTGTTTCGGAATTATTATATCAGGTGTAGAGTTTCCATTTCATTCAACTTATGTCTCGAGAAACTTGTTCCATATCCAGATGATAAACACACCATTAAAAAAAATTCCCCTTGCCAAGATCGTATTACAGTTGCTCAGAGCATTAATTATCCTTCGTGCCCTACATGAAATGACGGTACGTTTTGAAAATTAGTTATTGGGGCTAAGTATTTTCCTGTTTGCCCGCACGAATAAAATGTTGGTTGATAAGTTATGACGCCCGGACTTTTGGTGTCGCCCCTCTTTGTATTGGGGATTTAAAATCGTCGATGTAAAGACCCGAAAGAGGTGCCGTGTGTGCGCTCTTTAACTTTTCTTGTTTCTCCCAAAATCAGAAGCCCCTCGCTGATTAAGGTTAAAATGAACAAAATATCGATGTTATTTTGTAACTAATCTTACATACATTAAAATGCAAGGTTACAGCGTTATGTTCTGCTAGAATTAAAAATTCATTAAAAAAGTTTCTTTTTCACATAAGAAAACGTAAACAGAATGTCAAATTACTTTAATTCAGCCCCAGGTGCACCATCTAACTTCATAGAGGGTTTTCTTGACAAACTAATAGTAGCTAAGCCACTCGAGAACTTTGCTGGCCGTGTGGAACAGCTGTAAGGCCAACAGAACTCTGATTCATTACATTTCTTCTTAGTTTCTCGGTATATAACAGCACTATATCAACTGAGTAGACCTCTGTCAAAACGTTTAACGAGAAAAGGCTGGGTGGTTAAGATTCGTGAGTTTTAAAAAAATCTTTTGCCCTTTTAATGTAATATTTATGAACTATGCGTCAGTATAGTAAGAAAATCCACGGAAAATCTAAGAGTAGCAAATATCCCGACCGAGATTGGATCCGGAGACATAGATAAGCAATTCGCTTAATGCCACATGAGTAATCTTCGGTAGTACTTAGCAGGAACATGGGCTTATTTCCATTTGCATAAAGTACTGTTAAGCACTGCGAGGTCCTGGCCGGTTCTTTGCTTTCCTCGTGGGTCCCGGCGTCCAGTGCTTGAAAATACACGCAAGTGGACCAAAGATACGAGCCCTGTGACAGCTTGATTTTGATGGCGTCGGCGTCGGGCAGACTCGTAGGCAGATGCCTCTGTGACAAGTTTGACTGCAGGTGGAATATTAATTCCATCCCGTCAGGTACCTGGAA